TAACAATAAAGATGGGAACGTAAATGTGGAAGTGAGCAGCATCAATCCCAAGCAAATTTGTCGTGGAAATAATCTGTAATAGTGTAGTAAGCCTTTTTACACAGTTTTAGCTTTACTAAAGACTTAAATTTGTTAAAACTCAATTCATAGAATTTGCTTGGCACTTTATTATAAAATCGCACACCCTGACAACGAAAAGACTTGCTTACTTTTTGTAGTCTAGTGGTTGATAATACGATAATATGATTTATTCACAATGTATTATGTATTATGTTTTATTTCACAATATATCTATGAACATACCAAAACCGTTAACTGTAGTTATAGTGAGAGAACTGATTCATTTAAAATCATATTCGTAACGCTGGTTACATAAATGTTGTTTTTTTTTGTGGGCAGCCTATTAAAGTAGCTTGATATGTTGACGGATTTAACGTTAAACGAAACCTGTCGGATCAGTTTTTTATTGCCTCCAAATCAACATTAATAATAATAATATTCTACCACATTCACACATCCGTCCTATTGCCATCTAGTCCTAAACTAACTATGGGTACTAGACAAATGATATAATACTTTTTTTTTGTTTGTAAATACATACATATTATACTTAGAAACACCCAGACTAAATTAAACAAATGTTCATGCACACAAATGTTTGACTTAAGTGGGAATCGAACCCGCGACATTTGTGATAGCAGTCCGATACCCAATCACTACGCCATCCGGTCGTCGTACATTGATTAAAAGAGTCTTTAACTCCCTGGAATAGATCAATATATCATCTACATACAATACTGTTGAAAAGATTTAAGCCTTCGCTCTGTCCTAATCCTTGATACTTCTTATTTTACTTTAAAATTTATAAGCATAAACAAATAATTGTTAATGCAATCACCGATATCAAATAATATTGCGACATACTAACACGTGGTGATGAATTAAGAATACAAAGTGTCACCAACCTCATTCTTCCCGTGGATGTCGTAAGAGCCGACTAAGGGAGCAAACTACACAGTATAACAGCACTACAAAGAGAAAGAAAACTTGAAACAAAACCCTTTTTTTTTTTTTTTTTTTAACTTGTGGAAATCCCCTCGGACCGTCACCCCGGGGCTCCCGTTCGGCGGGGCGGTGTGTCGGACTCGAACCGACTAAAACCACACGGTGTACCCTCCTTGCGCTTCCAGGGGTCCAGGTAGTTATCGCCTTCTGGACCCCTCCCAGCGCCCGCTCCTGATGCGGGCTCCGTCTCAGTGGACCCTCTCTTTAGGCGACGTCCGGCACACGCGGACGCCGCCCCCTCGCGGCTGGCCAAACTAATGCGGGTGGAGGGGAGAACCCATCCCGTCCACCCGCGGCCACACTCAGGGCGGCATGAGGCGCAGGTAAGCGCGCCTCCGCCGCCTGGTTTGAAACAAAACCAACCCGTCTAATCAGCCAAAACCTAGGCCTCTAATTAGAAAGGTTTTAAGGAGTGTCCTATGTGCAGCAGTAGACCATTAAAGACTGTTGATAATGATGATCATACTAAGGCACAATGTTGTTGATGTCAAACATCTTTTGACTGCAGGGAAGGCGTAGTGGATTAAGCAGTAGCCACGTCGTTTCCTACTCCGCTACTTGTTGTAGGTTCAAACCCCACATGGATCGACACTGTGTGTGATCCACAAATGTAAAATCCCCCGCGACACAGGATATATTCCTAATGCGAGAGTTGTATTTCTTAAAAGAAAAGAAAGAAAGGAATGAAAAGATTATTTCTCTCGCTTGTCTGCACTTTTTGGGGTCGTTTTGTAAAAAGGGAACTATGTAACAGATAGCCATGTATCTTCTTTATTCATTAGACAACAAAACAAGCAAGGCTTTATAATAATAATAACATTTTGGACATCTAACACATAATAATTTGCTTCGTTACATCATAATTAGTATTGTATTTATATTTGGTTCGGAGTTTTATTATAGTATTTAGAAAAAAAAGCATAAAAGTATTCTATACAATCTAGCTTTCATAGTACAAGCTCTGCTTAGTTTGAAACTAGGCGTTGTGTGTAAAATGTCTGAAAAGATTATTATTATTTTATTAAAATAGCTTATTATTCTCCCTGCTGGGCCTTAGGGATCTAGCGTCAGCTGTCTTGCGAATATGATTTTGGTTTAATTTGAGCACCTGCAGAGAGAAGGAAAACTTGCAACAAACCTATACTAACCAGTCTGGCCAACGTTTTATAGTAGGCCAAAACCTCCTTTCTAAGGAGGTTCCTCCTTTGTCCAGTTGTTTGTTGATATGATGTGTGTGATGACCACGATCCTGGTTTACAAGTTTTTTTTCAATTTAATATGTTTCAACCTCAAATGACGAACGAATTCCTATCTCAGGGAAATACGACAGACAGAAAAATAATAATGAGAAAATATTAATAGGGTATACAATCCAAACCAATATTGGCTTCAGTACTTCTCATTGTAATACGATTCCGATAAGTAATACACTTTAACTAAAAACCAATCAAGTCCACTAATCAAGTCGCGTACGTTAACGGGAGCTATGAAAGACGCTTCGGTGTATTTTGATTTTTGTCATTTTTAATTTATGTTTAATTTTATTACTTAATGTGATTTTTTTAATTTAAGATATGTTTTGTTATTTTTATCTGACTGCTCAAGAAGCAGTGTCATTTCATTTGAGTGTGTAAAGATATTTTTAATAGTACTCTAGCATCATCATCATCATCAACAGCCTTTAACAGTCCACTGCTGGACATAGGCCTCTCCTTAGAAAGGAGGTTAGTACTCTAGCATATAATAATAATAATTGAATACTGAAGGGGTTGACAAAAAACGATCACGTTATTCCGACTACAACATAATTAAATTAAAAACAAACCCCCGACACACATCTAGGATTTGAAATTTGTCAGAGTGTATAGTATTCTACTAGTCAAGCCCTTTCATTTGATACCCATATTGAGTTGTAAAAAAACATGTAATCCGCCATTTCGTGGCGAGGGCCATCTTGAACTGATTTTCATCAAACTCTGCTAAGAACACTCCCGACTAATTCAGCTTTCAAACCAAAAAAAAACAAAATCAAATCGGTTCATCCGTTCGGGAGCTACGATGCCACAGACAGACACACACAGACACACACATACACAGAGACGTCAAACTTATAACACCCGTCGTTTTTGCGTTGTTATTGATTTTATTGAAATATGAAATTGAGGAGAATTCAACATAATAATTTACGAGTAAAGTAATTTATATAAAATGATATCAAGGTCCAGTATTTTTTTTTTGGGACTTCCCATAATAACTGATTGATACCTACATAAATGAATCACAGATTGTTTAATTAGATTATTACATTCATACACACTCGCATATAACATCCCTGAAAGAGTAAACAGAGGCATATTAACATCCCTGAAAGAGTAAACAGAGGTATATTAGGGGCCCATAATTTGCCTACTAAAATTATAGAATTGGAACTTTAACGATTACATGGAAAAATGGGACGTGTCACAAGGAATACTCCCTAAACCTATTACTGGGTCATTTTTATTACATTGAGACCCCTACATGCCATCGGTCCTGGTTGCCATATGAACATCTGTGGCAATTGTTACGGATAGTTGGAGCCCTAAAAAGTCTGTCAACAGTGTTTCTACAGAACTTCGATATCGTCTAACTACTTAGTTGTGGAGTCCTGGTGGCAGTCACTCCACGTAAAAAAAAATTAAGTTCAGCAGTGTCCTAGTACACTAAAAAGCCGACCTCAAGCTAGTTTGGGAAAAAGGCTCGTAAGAAAAATTGATAGGAAAGGAAATGCAATAGCAGACAAAGCATTTTGCTTATACCTAAGGATGTATTGGACAATTTAAGCAATAAGTCAAAAAGTATAGGGCCTCATGTCACTCGAATGACCTTTTCCAGAAAGTGCGAGCCCTCCGATCTAGTAAGTTGTTGGTATAGAAAAGAATAGAATAATCTTTATTGTACACCAATTCAGGATATTATACATACAATAGTATTCCAAGTTAATGACCATGTACAAATGGCGGCCTTATCGCTAAAAAGCAATCTCTTACAGGGAGCCTTGGATGGACAAATAGACTGTAAATAGGTAATTTCATGGGCAGATTTGTTGAGAAAAAAGTGTAAATTAAACAAAAAATAAAAAATATATATTTATACAGGACAACAGCATTCCTTTGGCAGTTATAAAACAAAGTAGTGTATTAAAAGCATTGCTAAAGTCCAGTAAAGAAAGAACTGTGAGTTTTCTATTTTCCATTCCAAGCCTGATGTCGTCAGTAACATTGATCAACGCACTTGCCGTACTATGACCCGCACGAAAACCTGACTGGAGAGGACTTAGGAGTTGGTTTTTATTAAGGAATGAATTTAACTGGGTGTGAACAAGACGTTCAAGGACTTTTGAAAGAAAGGGCAATATGGAAATGAGACGATACTCGGAGAAGGATGTGGGATTCTTCTTTTTAGTTAATGGGATAAGTAGTTCTTTCCATGCCTCCGGAAAAGTATTGCAAAAAACGGGGGAAATTTAGGATATGGCATATTGTAGGTTCATCAAGAATTAATTGGATCATGTTACGGCTTATGCAATCGCTTCCAACAGCATTGGAATTTATGGACATAATACACTCTTTAACACCACAAGCAGTTAATTGATTAAAACAGACCGGTTTGTAATAATAATATAATATATGATTAAAAAAAACATGTATTTACGCTTGCTCCTAAAATCGTAATCTTTTAAGAGTAGGCATGTAACGCACAAACATAAAACCTATTTAAATACCCGAGGCCAGTAATGAACCAGCTTATCGTAGTAGAATAAAAATCAAGTATCTTTTAAAAACTCGTTCAGTTTGAAATGAAAGATTCGTTTGAATGTTACTAGTCTTTATTTAAAGTTGAATAATTATTCATAGTTTATTTTTGGGTATGCTTAGTGCCTTAACAGTTTTGAAATGTCAGCACCAAAGGATATGGACATAGAAAATGTGCTTAAAAAGTTTAATTTGCGGAGTCCCTACTATATTAAACTGTTTTCCCTTTTATTGTTTGCGGGGTCCTTAAATGCGATGCACTGTGTTCAATATGTGTTTATAATATCTGATGTGAAATACAGGTAATGCTTTGTTTTATTAAACGTGCCGCCATTGTTCAACTGTTTTTAACGGAGTTTATCAATTATTTAAAATTAATTTACAAAAACTTGATTTTCAAAAAGACCTATGTTTATATTTTGACGACAACATAAAAATTATTTGAAGTTAAGTTCTTCAAAATTTAATTTTGGTTCACTTGTGTAGATAAATAATAATATAACAATATAATTTCTGAAGGTTGAGTGACCTATGAGAATTGCTGCAATGGAGAATGTAAGAATGTGTCTTTGCTATCCAGGATGTCGCGACGCGGATTGACAGCGAGTATATTAAGATTAAGAGGGGAATATTTCAGGGTGACAGATTAAGTCTCTTGTGGTTCTGCTTAGCTTTGAATCCTCTCAGCACTATGTACTCTCAGGACTAGGATATCGGTTGCGGAGAGAAAATAAGGTTATATCCCACTTCTTTTCCTTGAATGGTTTGAAACTATTTGCCTGTAGTCGTTTCCAACTGATAAGAACAATCGAAGTAACTCATACCGTCAGTAAATATATAAAAAAAGACATTTGGTGTAATGAAATGTGCAATCATGCATGTAAAAAGAGCCAGGTAAGTGGAATCTGGGAGGATGAAACCCTCTGATAGATGGCTGATAGACATATCGGCCCCTGGCTTTTTGCTAAGAGCTTTGAGAGACATCTTCAGATGCTTGCGTTAGGCAGTTACCACTGGTAGCTTGGTCCCTGTGATCGATACCGGAGGAAGACATTTTTTTTTATGTATTTTTATAAAACCAAATATATTTTAACGTAATTAGGATAATAATAATATTGTACCTCTATATTTTATACCTAGTAAAATTCAAAGAATAAGATAATGAAAAATAAGATAAGCTAATACAATAATAAATACAAAATAATAAATACAAAATAAAAATATTTTTTAGATGTAACGAGCCATATTTCGAAAATAATACATATGATGACAGATGCCATAGAATAGATAAAGAGACCAATAAATCAGTAAAATGCACTGAATGGAAATACGAAGATCCGAATGCTTTTTTTAGTGAAGTAAGTTGTTTTCTTATTATTCGGTACTTATGGCCGGGGCTACGCTTATTATTTATTAAAATTTAACATTGAATTCATGCTAGACATTACTTTCTATTTTAGTTCAACCTAGCTTGTCAGGACTGGAAGAGACTATTTGTTGCAACCGTACACTGCTTTGGATATATGATTGGTTTACTAATTATCGGACCTCTGGCTGATAAGTAAGCACGCTTTATACAGATTACAAAGAAAACATTACCATCTAAATAAAAACAATTCTTCTCGGAGGAAATCCTTTTTATTGGCTTCTGCACCATAATTGGAAAGTTTTGAAGTTTGAAAGTTTTGGGATGGAGGCCTATAGGAAGAAACAAAATTTATTAACGTAATCATTTTGTGGAATATTAATATAAAAGGAAAATCCTGCTTCCGTATAATCACTATTCACATTTGGACCGGCTCGACCAAAGTGACGCCAGGGTCTCAAAGAAAACCAGTATCAAACAATTCATTCGTTGCTTTTCAACAATTGGAAGAGGTTACTTAAGGTTCAACCTGACCCCTTACCCTGGGCTGGAGGGAGCTTAAAGTGTGATAACTCACATGTGTCTATAAAACAGAAATACACGTACTATATTTCTTCGACTTTAATAAAAGGACAATGGCAGGTCCCCATACATAATTTTATTTGAAGTGAAATGACAGCGTTTAAATATCAAAAATGCCTATAACCCTTGAGAATTTATTCTTGAACATCCTCATATAAAAATTACTAGCGAAAGAAGTCTAGGAAAAAAGATATTGGATTTTGAATGTTTCGAGGTTAAGTACTAAAATATTGTAAATGTTTTGTTTGAAACTAGATGGCGTTGTGTGTCATATGTTCGAAAATATTATGCATCGTTATTATTACTTATAAGCAACCCTATTTTGCTGTAGAAAGTGTTAGCCGACTCTCTAAATGGGTGAAGGAAGGAAGGGTATTTGCTTGGCATGTATTGGTAAACAATAGAAAAAAATCTTCGCTTACATAGCAGGTGTAATACTAGCCATAAATACATAAATTATTAATAATAATTTGAATAAATGTACTTCAATACACATTTACACAAGGCGGGAGCATTTATTTAATTATTTAGTTATTCAACAGTCAGTAGTTGTGACATTATTTACTAAAATCTAAAGCATGCATCCATTATATTGAGATTAATGCACAACATTTTAAGGCATCACATCATGCATAATGGAGTAACACTATATGAAATTAAAATAAACATATATGAGAGTTTAATACTAAACAAAAGTAAAACAACCAAATAAACTACAATTGCCTTGTAAGAAATGGTATGTAAGTCATGCGTGTAAGTGTCAAACGACAAGACTATAGTCCGTCAACGTCGTGCGCGACCGTCCTTTTTTTTTTTTTTTTTTTTTTTTTTCCCGTGCGGAAATCCCCTCGGATACCACCTGTCGGTGGCATGTCGGACTCGAACCGACTAAAACCGCACGCCTTCGCCGGGTACTAATAGCCGGGGAACCAGGTATACCCTAGAAAGGAAGGCCCTGGTGCCCCGACATACCTCGGGTCATCTACAGACGAGTAGACGACCCCCGCCCCGTGTGGGAACCCCATGTTCCCTGTGCTCCCTGGAAGCGAGCGCGCTTCGCAACGCGCTCGCCGCCTCCCCGGCCTGCTTCTGCTAGGGTGACAGATGGCCTCACCTGTCACCCCCAGGCCTGCGCTTATGGAGGACGGAGGTCGTTCTGCGACCTCCGGCGCCTGAGTCGCCTGCGCTGCCTGGCCCGTGCCCGGGCCTGGCGGGCCGGGAGAGTTCTAAACCTCTCCCGGTCCCGCTCCGCCGTCTGTGCGCGACCGTCCTGCGGGGTGACAGACGGTGGCGGGGACGGAGATTGCCGGGTTATAGTAAGTGCGACGACGACGTATCGACATTTTAAAAATATCGATGCATGTCTATTTATATGCCGTTATCAACCTACAATGTCTTTTTCTCATCACACTAAGCAGTATATTGTTTTAGTATTTTTCTGTAAGAAAATAACGTAACTATATTCTATTTATTTTGGTGTAGCAAAAATCTTTTAAAAGGAGTCAAAAATATTCTAAATTAATTCTAATTAGGTTGATTTAGTCACTACAGTACTAGTTACGGTAGCGTATGAGTAAACCCGTGGGCTGAAGCAAATTCATAATCATAATAGGTGAACCTTCGATAGATATTTAAGCCAAAGTTATAACAATCAATTATCGATAAAACGTTCCATAATATAATAATGCCATCACGCATCCCTAGTCAGTTCGTGATGGCGATTCTGACATTACGTACTTAGGTCAAATAAAATCTTTAAAAATATCCAATCTCTTATTAGACTTATACAACACATGGCGGTATAATGATAAATCATAGAAAAAATATTTAGTAAGGTTACTGTTAGTCAATTTTTTAAACGCTTCAGTTTTAGGTAAATATGTTTCTGCCATTGTTCTTTCTTGACATTCACAGTGACGTAATCGTTGTAATCACCTGACTCAGACACCAATGCATTATGCAGATTTATGCAAAACTAATTGATAGGCCTTTGACGTTGCGTTAAATATAGGAACATTCATTCAGCTCATTTGCTTCGTATTTTCCAGGTTTGGGAGAAAAATTTTAATAATTACAACAGGATTAGTTGCAGCTTTTATGGGCTTGGGAAGGAGTGTTGTGTATTCATATTGGCTCTACATCGTCCTTGAGTTAATTGAAGCTATGTTTGGTGACCCATACTCGACGACATATATGTTAGGTAAGAATACAGAATATTTATTCGATTCAACTTGTGACTCACTGTAATGTGATTTACAATCAGTTCTAATCAACATAACGCAAATAATCAAGTTTATCAATTTCATTTTTGCACAAGTACACACTTTGATGGTCTAATAAAAGTGTTTATTTATATCAATTTCAGTATTTTTATATAAGAAGACTTCTTAATTTAATAGATGTTTGATATAAATACCTATTTAGTTGAAATTGAATTGTATAATAAACTTTTTTTTTTGTATAAGTATGTAAATGTGAGTGTACTGTAGACTTATAATGTTAGTTCATATTTTAGTAACTTTCTGGTACTTTTTGAGTGTTTCCACGGCCTACTCAAGTGTCCTGCTGGCAGTAGTGTCATGTTCCGGGTTGTTCATCCTGATTATATCGGTTAGGCTACACGATGACCTGGGGCCCGTATGCCGTCTGTATGGACGTGCCGACTCGAAACTATGGTCTTTTCTTCATAATTCCAACCCAGACCCTATACTGCTCACATAGTTATCTTTAACATTATACACGGGCTTTAAAAAAAGACATCTCTGTGGTTTGTTTCGGTGTTTCTTCCCACACGACTCTTAGAAAATGCCGCCTTCTAACTGTAAAGTGCTACTTGTAAAAATACCTCAAAAGATTTACTTACAGAAATAAATATAATTTTATCATTTTACTCTATTAAGTAAATTGAGATGTTAATAAAAAAAATGACAATTGCAGTGACTTTATAGTAACTTTACCGTAGGCAAGCAATTCTTAGGCACAAATGGGCCGGCTCGGCCGGAGTGATACCACGGCCTGGCACAAAATCGATTTTAAACAATTTTTTGGTTGCTCTTCACCGAGTGAGTGAGGTTAACGGAGACCACACTTTCTCTCCCTCTAGTCACTAGAGGGAGAGACTGTAACTCTAGACTTGCAAGTGGCAATGAGCGATGGCTGTTACTTACCTGATGGCAACGAGATGATGGAACTGCGCTGGAGTAGGGGTGGATCACCTTCAGATGTCTTAATATCAGCTGATCCCGGAACCCTCCTATCTCAGGTTCGAAATAGCACACTGAGAGGTTTTAGTCGGTTCGATCCCCACACACCGCCCCGCCGCAAACCTACGGTGACGGCCCGAGGGGGTTTCCACAAGTTAAAAAGAAAGGATGGGTCACCTAATTGAGACCCGTCTGCTTGTTTGCTTCCTTATATCATAAAAAAAGTTTTCTGAATGTTTTTTTTTAACATTTCATATAGCTATATGAACAATATGAAAACTAATGACCTAATAATGTCTATGTCACATTTCAGGAGTTGAAATGGTAACAAAAGAGAATCGCGTGACGTTCATCGCTATAATGACGGCGGTTACATCTTTAGCAGGAATATTGATGGCAGTTATAGCCTGGGCTGTGCCATATTGGCGAACCTTTCTTTTGGTTATTTATGCACCCGCTCTATTAATTTTACTTTACCCTTTCCTGCTAGACGAAAGTCTTCGCTGGCTATTAATAACTGGACGGAAAGAAAAAGCTGAAAATATTATAAAAAGTGCAGCTAAAATGGATAATATAAATATCAGTGAAGTTTGTTCAGAGAATATTTACTGTGAAAAAGCACCTAAAGTAAATATTAGTATGGCAAAGATCTTCAAAATAACTTTTTCATCGAGAACACTATTGCTTAGATTTGCAGCATGTGTATGTATGTGGACGACGGGACTCTTCAGTAAATATACCCTATTAATGAATTCTGTAGAACTAGAAGGCAATAAATATCTCAACTTTGGATTAATGAAGTTTTGTGAGCTTCCAGCAAGTGTTGTGCTATGCTTAGTACTTAAAAGGTTCGAAAGGAAGAAACCTTTGATATTCTCATTTTTACTAACGGGTGTGTTCTGTGTATCGCAATCATTTGTGCCTAAAGGTAACTTGAATATTATTAGAATTATTTTGAATTCATCGATTTCATATAAAATGTTGGAACTTCTGTAAGTACTAATGTTTTATAATTTAAACATTATCCTTTTCAGATGAAATACTGCTCACGACATCGCTGTTTCTGCTCGGCAAGTTTATGGCGACGATATCATACGAGATCATATACTTATATACCTCTGAATTATTTCCTACATATTTACGGAATACTATGCATTCTTTGTGTTCGTCTTTGGGTCGAACAGCTGCTATGTTAGCAACGCAGACGCCTTTGTTGGTATGTATGAAATTTTAACTAATTTTAACTAATATTTTCAACACGCATGATGCTATTCTCGATGTACGATTTAACCGCACTACTGGTTATCATGGAGTCTTTTATACACTTCGCTAGAAGTTTGTCGTTGTTGAAGATTGAGAGTTGTACAGTAAAAAACATAGGGTATCCCAGAAAAATTGTCAAGCGAAGTCGAGAACAAACTCTAGTCATGAACACGACTATCTAAGTCTAAATTTATAAGTAAAGGAGTATACGCGAATCTTATGGTGAACAGCCATCACAACCTTAAGACGCTGATAATATAAGACATACAACTTAAACAATATCGTTCCTATTTACTTCTCTTTGATAACTTACATTACGTTTTAGCACTGCAACAACACTTGAAACATTTTATAGTATAGTTACAAAGTTCAGCTAAATTTATGTTACAAATAGATTTTGCCCACGGCTCTGCTCGCATCCTATGTGGGTTTACGCTGTAAAAAGTGGCATATGGTTACCCGCTGATATTGTAGCTTTCCATTGAAGAAATAATTTAAAATTTGAATGGTAAAATGTGAAAGCATAACAAAGAAACTCATTTTCCCATTTGAATACATGTGTCACCAAATTCTAGCTTTAAGTTGACTTCAAGTAAAGATAAGCTTTTGACTCTAAATACTTCAGTTACAACATAATTTTGATATAGTTTTGGTTATTTAGGAAAAGAGTCGTAAGTTGTCTCATATGTGTTTAAGGTGTATCTCTTATACGGAGTGTTATAGAAATGTGTGGTTCGATTCCCACCCAAAACAAATATTGTGTGATGAGCACGGTCATTTGTTCTGTGTCTGGGTGTAATTTATCTATAATATGTATCTATTTAAAAATATATATATATGTATGTTTATCAGCAGTCGGGTTACCATAGTACAGGCTCTGCTTAGTTTGGGATCAGACGGCCGTGTGTGAGATGTGTAAGATATATTATATTATTTGAAAGTTTTATCTTAGATTATCTATGTGTCTAGATGGAGTGTCACACTACAAATCAAATAAAACAAAACACTTACTTTATTATGCGTTTGTGCATGCAAATAGAACTTTTTTTTTGACGCTATGACAGTTTTGACAGGTCATCTAGACATCTCGTAATCTAAAGAGCGAATAATAAACTCCGTAAGTGGAGCTAAAATATATAAAAAAAATAGAAAATCGTGTTTTGAAATTGAGAAATTGTTGATTAAAATATACAAAGAAGCTAATATTTCTAGGGCCTCACACGAACTATACTACGGGTATTCAATATCAAGGATGTTCATGAAAAAAATCCTTTAAATTCACATAAAACATACAATATATAGGGTTACTCGTTAAGTCAACCTATATATTTTAGGGTATTGTAGTAAGCATTGTTTCTAATAGATATATCCCAAACCTAACCATTTTCAAGATATTGGACTTCAAAGATTTATTAATTAATAAAAAGAGGAAAAATGATGTATCATTTCTAAAACAAATTGTATTAGGCGAATTTTCGGTAAAGTTCAATATCTTGGCAATGGTTAGATTTAGGATGTGGTATTTCATAGTAAAACCTATTAGTAGTAATGGCTATTACAACCTTCTAAAGTATCTAAGTCGACTTAATCAGTAATCCTGTATGAATACAATATATTCGAAATGTGTTGTCTTAGAAAAAGCATTTTCTGTTAAACAAAAAATTGAGTTACTCTTTTCAAGATAAATCATCATTTCAGCTACCTATAAGATTCCCAAAATCTGTACACATCTTTTTTAAAGGTATTTATAGATAAAGAAGACCCCTAAATTTAATATTTTTATCTTTACAGGCGACGTACTGGTACGGTTTGCCGTCATTACTTATCGGATTATCATCAACATTGACAGGAGTAATCGTGATCATGATGCCTGACACAGCAGATGATATTCTTCCAGATACGGTGAAAGATGCAGAGAATATAGGTCACAAAGGAAATAACAATAAGATTGAGAATACTTCAATTTAAATTTGAACCAGCAAAATAGTCATGGCTCAACGTTTTTAACATAGTGCAACACCAACAAGTGCTGTATTTTTGGAGTTCACTCCTTAAGAATCAAGTTTCATGTAAGATTCGGGTATGAAAAAATCTGAAGAGTAAAATTTTGTGATCGAATGACCTCGTTACTTTTTTTGTGGGTACCTATCGTGCGCACCTTTTAAACATAAGACTGTTTTCAACAGAATATAAAGATACCTTTATTTCTTTTAAAAGACAACTCCCTCACTAGAAGTATCTCCTGTGTCGCTAGGAAATTTACAAACATACATGAAACGGACACAAAGAACACCCCTCAACACAACAACAAAACACACTTAAAACAAGAATTTGTGGATCACGCAAAGTGTTGTCCCATGTGTGGATCGAACCCATAACACTCAGCGCAGTATATAACGGCAAGGTGACCCATCAAACCGTGCAGTCAGTGCAGTTTTAAATTATGTGTTTTTAGAATCATATAACATCAAAGCATAAATGTAACCAAAAAAATAACGATTCATACAAAAATTTAGCTGTGATGCTAAAACTTCGTAACAGCATTTTAACGCGCTCTGCGACCTAAACTCAACGAAACAGTTGATGATCAAAAACGGAATGTCAAAACTAATCTCTTGAATTTCTACGACAGCATAAATGTAGGTGAGATTTCCACACAGTACAAATTATTGCGTAATAAACACAATAATTTGTACTGTGTGGAGATAAAGATTTAGATATATTACACCCAAACACAACTAATCATCTTGTTGTGTTTGGGTGTAATATATATAAATCTTTATCTATATATATATCTATATTTAAATGTTAGGTTGGTGGCGATTGACTGGGTTCGATTTCCAGACAGAACAAATATTATGTGGTGAAGCACGATCATTAGTTCTGTGTCTGGGTGTAGTTAATCTACATAATTTACAGAATTAGAAATAGATGAGTACGGTTATATAGAAATATCTGTTCCCGGTTGAGAGCAATTTGGCAATAGTCCCATTTACATTAGAGGGGGAATCCCCTACTACTATTAGGGGAGAGTCACCAATATTGAATCGGCGTTTAAATTGGACCACTTCTGTATTTCTACCAAAATGGCATTATTTTTTTACATTAGCAACACAAAAAGAAGCGCTAGCAGCGTCACTAATAGACCAATTTTAGCATCGGTTCAATATTCATTACTCTCCCCTATACATATATATAAATTATTGGTATATATTTTTGTTATATATTATATATATTATTGTGTTAGTGGACTAAAATTGTAGTCGACAAAATGTAGGTGCAGAATACGCTTCAGTCCATCCTGTATGTGGCAAACGTTTTTGTGTTGATAAGGATAATAACTGAAATTCTAGTCCGATGCACCCAATTCTTTAGTAGTCGACTACTGGACATTGGCCTCTCTTAAAAAGCAGGTTTTGGCCTACTATACCACGCTGGTCAGATGGTTTGGTATAGGGCTTGTATAAAGTTTTCCTTCTCTTTGCAGTGCTGTTGTCCTGCGTAGTTTGCTCCCTCAGTCGGCTCTTACGACAGCCACGGAATGAATAGAGGTACACTCCGTATTCTTAATCCGTCACCACACGGACTAAAATTATTATAGGTAAATTATCGACTAGCGAACACATAATCTATGTTCCACAGGAATGATGTTGAACTAAATAGGGGTGGTGACACTCTGTATTCCACACGGAACCCAATTGACATTGAGTTAAATGTTAAGTATATGACTATAATAACCTAAATCGATAAATCGAATAAACACTAAACTAGGGACGGATTTAACCTTATAATCAAATAGGTACCATAATTTACCTTGACTCCAATAACTAAGTAAATACATTTAAATAAAGGTATAATAAAACCCTTTATCATTATATTCAGTTTTTATTGCTTTAAAACTATTATGACGTGCATACTAGTTATCTTACGTTCAATGATAGCGAAGAAGACACATTTGACCCTTTGAATGTCAGAAAAATATGCATTGTGACAAATGGACAAATGGGCTGATTTAACCGCAGTAATGCCATGGCCTGACAGTGAACCATTGTTTCTTTGAATAACAAAATATGGAAAGGGGGCAACCTTTTCATAAAAAAAAAATGTTCACAATTATCATCCCAGAATGTAAATGAATAAATAACCTAATATACTCGTAGTGTGGTGACTCTTAATCCGGGTGGTGACGGATTAAGCATACGGAGTGTTACCCCTATTCATCTCGTGGGTGTCGTAAGAGCCGACTAAGGGAACTATCTACGCAGGATAACAGCACTGAAAAGAAAAGGAAAGCCCTATACCAACCCGTCTGGCCAGCGTGGTATAGAAGGCCAAAACCTCTTTTCTAAGGAGAGACCTATGTCCAACAGTGGACTGTTATAGGCTGTTGATGATGTTGATGACTCGTATATAATAAATAAATACAAATACAAATTCGAAACCAAAGTATTTCATCCTGTGAGTTCTAGATTATGATTAAGGTTATAAAGAGGTATGCACAATATTTCTCCCGTCTAATTTAGGATCAAAGACAAAAAAATGCAGCTAAGAGCAAAATTCTGTATTCTGTCTTAATTGTCTGTCTGAAAGTAATTTAAACCTAAGCAATTCATAAAAAAATATAGGCAATTTCCAACTCTCTTTATTATTAAAAACCATACAATTATTCATCATCCATTAAGCCGGAGCCCTCAAACCTTTGATCCCCGCATAAACCTTTATGTGAATAAAATGAAGTGAGAATGAATTGCAATTAGCTAAATCGCTGAAAACCCTGACGTACGCTCCCGAAAAAAATCCACCCCGATTCACCCCATTGCCCGTTTCTCCCCCATCCCCTCATTGAGCCCCTTCGGGTGACAATTTGCGAGAACGTCCAGGGAAAATGGAATCGTTCAGTAAAACAGTGTGTATGCTCTGAAATTATTCATGCAAATTGCCACCAATGATAGGGCCAGTGCATTTTAGTTTATAAGTCCGAATCGCGAAAATTTAATCTTTGATTTAATTGATGATAATACAGATTAATTATTAGACATTTATACATTTTATTTAGCAGTTGAAAAAATAATAATATGATTGTAGAAAAATTATATAGTGACAATTGCTTGTATTTTGTATATATAATTACCATTTCTACTACAATAATTCTGTGTGTGACACTTAAATCTTGAAATTACTGACCAAATTGTTGAAAGTATTAATTAATACACTCAACCTAAACTTATGTTTTGTTAATCTTTTAATTTAAAAAATCAGAAACAGTATTTTTTGTGCGATTAAGGTGTATATGTATCCAAAATTTCGTGATGATCAGTTGAGTAGCTACTACTACTTAAAGAAAACACGCTTTAAAAGTAAACATAGCACAACATGCAGCTGAAACTAATTAAATTACCCATTTCAAATATATGTAATTCATCTGCCTCCATAATATTAGATCCTCACCACTTCAATAAAATCTAAATAAACATACATACTCTGTATCTGTACTCCTTTTTTTTCTTTTTTTTTTTCTGTGCGGAAATTCCCTCGGATACCACTTAGCGGTGGCAATGTCGGACTCGAACCGACTAAAACCGCACGCCGTCTCAGGTACAAACTTCGTATGAACGTTAATCGAACTAACGTCATTAATCCACATTTTGTTTGATGTATATAAGTACAGTTCTGTAAGTTTATGCAATCCGTCTATGCAAAATTACCGAATCGGAGGTCGTGGGTTCGACTCCCACCAAGGACAAATAATTGTGTGATGAGCACGATCATTTGTTCTGTGTCTGGATGTAATTTATCTATATTATGTATGTATTTAGAAATATATAAGTATGTTTATCAGCAGTCTGGTTAACATAGCATAGCTCTGCCTGGTTTGGGATCAGACTGTTGTGCTATGTGTCAAGTAGGTTAGCACTACTGTAAAAACAATTAACACGCAGAATTACATTTTATTTGATATATATGAGCACAGTTCTATAAACCTTTGTTTATACAATCCGTCTATGCAAAATTACCGAATAGATTAGCACCACTGTAAAATTTCTTAACACGCAGAATTAAAAGAACAAATTTCACTGTACTACACCTAACAGAATAATAATTTCATAGCTAGAATGTTAAATTTTATAAAAGTGTGTTGGCTGAGCATATTTTTAATTAAACTGCCGCGTACACCACCTGGGCCCTTGCGCTAAGGTTTATATTCTAGCTCTACTTACTATGCATGCATAAATATATTATTTTTTTAATGAGGACGTATGCCCAAAGAGATGAAGAAGAATTTTTTGCCGTAATTACCAACTCATTCCATATAATTTACCTCTATACATTATTTGTCTCAAATATTTCTCTTTATTATAAATAAAATAATATCTAGATACATAACTATTATTGTGATTTCAAAAGAGGGAATTCCTAGGATGGAATATCATCACTTTTACACAATTAAAACATTGACTCAAAACCAAACAATTATTATTACTTAAATTTATAAACATATTAATATTTAATATTTCGGACAACTGACACACAACGCCACCTAGTTTCAAACTAAGCAGAGCTTCTACTACAAAAGTAGGTTAGTTGACTGATAGAATACTTTTATTTTTTTGTTAAAACAGATATATTTTACATAGAAAACACCCAAACTCCAGCCCGGATCGAATCCGAAACCTCAGCACAGCAGTCGCAGACGCTACCACTGCTCCAGCGATTCAGTATTTGTATACATCTATACTAATATTATAAAGCTGTAGAGTTTGTTTGTTTGTTTGTTTGAACGCGCTAATCTCAGGAACTACTGGTCCGATTTGAAAAATTCTTTCAGTGTTAGATAGCCCATTTATCGAGGAAGGCTATAGGCTATATATCATCACGCTAAGACCAATAGGAGCGGAGCACCAATGAAGAATGTTTCAAAAACGGAGAAAATTTATTACTATTGAGAGCCGCAGACGAAGTTGCGCGGG